TTTGGACTATTGTAATTACATGCCACTGCATGACGGGCTACTTAAGAGGTTCTTCTGATTGATCAGAGATACATTTGGAATTGCAGATCCTCAAATATCATGAATCTGTGACCTGCATAAATAGCTCCTATAGGCAACTAGAGACAAGACAGCAGTGCGCCGTAAAATCTGGTCATGGAGAAGTCATGCGCCATTTAACATACTCCGCGCAGGAAAATATTTTGACGTATCTGCTAAATGCAATAAACGTAAATAAACATTAACCTAAAACTACGCTTTGAATCTCCTTCAAGTTTCCATGTAGAAGAAATACCCATTATTCTGAAAAATCCCTACAATTACTCTTAAAACGTGAATCTCTTACATTCAACGCTTCGTTGATACATAAAGGGAACCTTAATCATGTATGAAACAGTAATTTACAGGGAGTCGCATCAATGAATAATTAGGAAAGCAAACAAAGCCAGGTTTTGCTGGTGTGTTCAAGTAGATTCCTAGTCATATGACTACATTTGACATCTGAGTGCAGATTATACTTTAAAGTACTGTAACTTTTTATCGAATATGTTTCATAAAAAGAATATTCGCTTAATCCCTGTTTTGCCTTGGCTTTCTAGAGCATCAGCGAAAGAAACCGCTGGTTGTTCTTTGTGTGAGTTTATTGGGCGAAGGCTTAGTTCAGAGGCAGTTGCTCTTAGCACTGAGGACATTCACATAGCAACGAATCGACAGTCCTATTCCAAACAAAAAATGAGCGACATTTCGACAATATAACTTTGCAGTTAAATTTACTTTTACATCATCTTCTTGCTTTTAGTCAGCTATCAGATGAATCAAGGTGAACTGGGGCCATAAAGCGCACGCATCAGACAGTATGGGCCATATGTTGCGGACACATGACCACAGCAAAGTACAAAGCTGTCCCTATTATTTGTACGTCAGCGATCCGCCACCCCTTTTTCAGCTTGTTTCACCGAAGTACCGTGGAATGAATTCCTTGCTCAAGGGAATTAGCAGTTAATAAGAGAAACTTCATGTCATGTGCCACGTTTGAAACCTCCCTCGAACGTGCAAAGCAACCTACTGACCAACTGCGTCATTGTCCCTTTCCACAGCTAATAAAAGCAGCGCATATTACTATGGCAAAACGTGAATTAAGAAGAAAACTTTTATAAGCGTTTGCTGAATGAGTGAAGCAATGCCAACCTCGTGTTGCTGCTGTCGTTTGCTGGGGCTGCCGTCAAATCGTTAGTAGGCTCGACCACTGAGGTCTTCGTGCCGTTATAGAACAACAGTTTCAACATCAGCACCGTCATCGTAATAGACAGTATGACGAAAATTCGCTTGATCATTTTTACACCCATTTCGATCGAGCGCGAACCGCACACTCATCTTCACCCCATAATCAATGTTCTCTTGATGCGATTAGGTGAAAAAGTACCATACACTGCAACGGTGCGCAAGTATTAATACACCTCTGTCAGATGTAATACGTTTTTATCCCGTTCGCTTTGCTTCTCGTCTTCACTT